TTTTTTTTGCTCGTTAAGTTAAAGTTTATCAGGTGACGATGTAATAAATAAAGATAAGATAGCGAGAAATGAAAGATTTTTACATTCATATTCATTGCGTCGGACACCTTATCAACGATGATGTCGCCCTTTCTCCTCGTTTTTCTTCTAATATCAAAAATAAGCATGATTTATTCTGACTGTCCATTACTTGAACTATGTGATTGTAATACAAAACCAAATACAGTCATATGTAATGGTAATTCTGGTAATAATAGTGATAATACTTATTTTCCATCACTTGCATTATTACCAGCTGTTGAAGAATATACATTTTTAAATTTTAAACAACTTCAAGCTAATGCTTTCGAAAATTTAACATTTCTTGCAAATCATTCAATATTAATTCGTCTTATAAATATAACAACTATTAATTCAGATGCATTTTCAACAAGTTTGATTATACCTACAAATTCAACATTATCAATTGAAATTGGACAATCAACGAATTCTTCAAGTATAACATTAAAACCAAATGCATTCGATCATTTAAAAATTAATCATTTACATTTTACAAATATCAATAATTTTAATGGACGTCCAATTTTTGATACAACATGTTTTGGCGAAAATTTACACATCAATCAATTAACTATTCAACAATCTAGTATAACTGGATTTTCAAATGGCATTAAAAAACCTGCATATATCAAACAATTACATATTCGTGAATGTCCATTATTTACACAATTAACTGATAAAAGTTTACCAACATTTCTTTCAACAACTGAATTATTAGAAATGTCAACAACAGGACTTCAACTTATTAATTCTCATACATTTCAAGCATGGTCACTTCGACTCAAAGAATTAATAATTCAAAATAATTTAAACTTTAAAATATTTTCATCACATATGATCGATGGAGTCTTAATGGAATTACATAAACTTGATTTAAGTAATAATTCAATTACTTCTATTGATAATGATTATGATTGGTTTGCATATAGTTATACAAAACATTTAATATTAAAACAATTGCAACTTGATTTATTTCTTAAAACAAATATATTAAAAACATTACAATCTTTGAAAATAGTTGACTTTTCTGAAAGTTTTATAAGTGAAAATAATGATGATTTAATACGTGCGTATGTCCCAGCTATGCCAAATCTTGTTTCATTTAATGTTTCACATACAAATTTAACTGAAAATATGATTATTGATTTATTAACACGTTTAAGTACGTCAGCAAATCAAACTATTGAAATTAGTTTACTTGGTCATACACTTAATGATAGTAATTTTTGTTCATATTTTTCAATATTTCAAAAATCACCAAATCTACTTCATCTTGAATTAGATGAAACACATGAATGTAATTGTGTGGTGGATTTATTTTATCAAGATGAACATATACAAATGACGAAAAATGATACATTAAAACGACCTAAATGTTTACTTGATACACCTAGACGAATACGTTGTAATATTCAATCACAATTGACAACTTCAAAATGTTCTGTAGATAAACCAAATCCACTTGGACCAGGAACAGGTGGTCAAAATATTGGAGATTATGCATTTACTGGTGTTATGATTGGACTCGGTGTTGTTTTATTAATTTTATTAGGTCTTGGTACTGGTGTACTGTACCGTGTACGAAAAAATCGACGTTTGACTATTCTCGATATGGAAGAACCTATTGAAAATCCATTGGCAGCCATAATTGAAGAACGCTTACAAAAAAAATACTAAATTTACTTTTTCTTTAAATATTTTCTGTAATTTTTTTTACCTTAAATTTTGTTTGAAATATCGAAAACTTCTGAAAATACATAAAAGTAAATTGTGAATATATATGACATACTTTCAGAATTTGCAAAATTGATCTATATTACGCTTTAAATCTGCAAGAAATACTGAAAGATGGCGCTTTGGTTAAAAGATTAGTATTGGTGAAAAATATGACTAGTAATCTATTTATGAATCATATTAGTTATCTTTTTTTTCTAAAAGTCACAAACAAGAACAAAACGTAAAAAAAACTAGTTTTTTTATCGTTTTAAAAGCATCAAGTATGGCTTGGGCTTGTATTATGCCTGAAGAACTATCGATAGTTCCACGAGGTCTAGTCTGTTTAGCAAATCTTGATACACGTCATCAACCTGTACATCGTTCGATTTGGGAATTACTCGATAAAGAACGAGCAAATGTACCTTTACGTTATCGACTTGTTGATATCGATGAACAATATCCAACTAGCAAAGCAAAAGTTTGTTACATATTTATTGTATTATTAATTAATTTGTTTTATTAATTAGCGTGCTACATATGAATGGTATGTTCCAAAAGGTATACTCAAAACAAGTTGGATGCACAAGCATTTACATCTGGTACCAAGTTTAGTAGTTATATTTTTTGAACTTGATTGGAATGATCCATTATTTAAAGAAAAACAGACTGAATTAAAAAATAATATTGATTTAGTCAGGTATTTATATTCAAATTGTAACATACGTATATATTAATTAATATTTATAGAACAAATCTTGATGGTCGTGGTGCTGCTATTTCAGTAGTATTACTTCAAAATAAAAATAGTTTTCCAACTGGTAAGTATCTGTATGAATGAGTTGTTTAGATATATAGAATTCTTTTGTTTGAAGTTGATGATGTGTATAGTTCTGAACGTGATCAAATGGCTAATACACTCTGTACTTATTTTGATATACCGAAACGTTCTCTGTGTGTTCTACCTGTTCTTCCACAACCTGATAATCTTTCAGCATGGATCGATAGGTACATATATAGAAATTTTGTTATAATTCAATTTAACAATAAAATGATTTTTATTTTAGATTAGAACAAACATTTATTGAAAGTAGTCAAAATTATTATATGAATGAAATACGTCGTGTTAAAAAACATAAAGAAACATTAAATAATATAACACATCAATTATTACATATTCGTCATCAATTTAAAGTTGGATTTTTTTCTGAACTTAAACAAGATATACCAAGTGCTGTTAAATCTTATAAGAATGCATATAGTTATTTAATAGATAATGCTCGTATACATGATACAAATATACTTGAAATGAAAATAATTGCTGGTTTTTTAAATTATAAAGTAAAAAAAAAGAAAAATTTACGAAAATTTATTTTAAATCTAATTTAGATATGTCGAATATCATTTGAATTATCTCAACCAGTCGAAGCAATAAATCATTTTCGTCGTCATGCTGATATATTTAAAAGTAAAACTGGTCCTGTTGATTTAGCATTTGAACATAAAGCATGGCTTTCAAAACAGTATGAATTCGAATTTTTTATTTTTTTCGAAATAATAAAATTATTTTGTTGAATTAGATTTCAAACATTTGCTGATTTATTTACACGTTGTCCATTAGCAATTCAAACACAACATCCAGGATTTTATTATCAAGAATCAGCATATCAATCAATGGCACGAAAACAAATTGCACAAACAACATGTCGTCGAATTGAACCAACTGATTTTGATCCAAATGAATTTTTAAAACCAACTGAATTTTATGGTCAAAGACCATGGAGACAACATCATCAAAGTAAATCAGATTAGACAATATAAAAAAAAGAAAAGAAAACTAAATAATAATATCGAGATTCTCCATATAATATTTATTTGTTTTCAAAAAAAGATAAAGTAAACATATTGTAGGTAGAACTTTAACTAAAATACAAAAAGGTTAGTTTTATTTTCATGGGTAATATTTATCAGATATGGTAAATTATACTAATTTTAAGAGATTAAATACTATTATGCTGTCTTTAATAATTATATATATATATAGTAACGAATAATGGTGATAGATTTGTAACTTTTGAATGCTATTGAAAGCAAAGCAAATTTTGCTTATGTTGTTTATTTTTTTAAAATAAGCATAACAGTCTAGTTGAGTTTATTGGTTTATATAAATATTTATGGTGAATACAAGCGCTCATCTTTAATACATATATGTAAGAGATAATTCTGCTTCTGTTAACTATTCTCTATTAGTTTGCTTTTCTATTGCTCATCAATAAACTCTATGAAAAATAGATAAAAGTTATTATCGTCATGGCTAAGATAAGAAAACATTTTTGGATACTAATGATTTTGTCTTAAAAAAATGTATTTGATATATTTCTTTTAATTAAGGTATGGAAATTAGTGATGCACAGAAAGAACGGGAAGCAATTGCTGCATTACGAGATGCTGAATCTCGTGTTAATCATTCCGTATGTTTAATTAAATATTTAATATATAAATTAATTCGCTTTTTTTGTTAATTTGTTATAGGAATTAATCATTTCTTTACTTGTTCAAGCGATTACTCATTTTAAAAAACATTCATCAAATCGAATGAAACTTTATTTAAGTTCGTTGTTTTTTTCTTGTTATGAAAATTAACTCTATTTTCAATAATTGATTTGTTATTTAGTGTATAATTTAGCAGAAGAATATGCATCAAGTAAAGACTATGATAAAGCATTAAAGTAAAAGAATATTAAATTATATTAAAATCAGCATAATTCTATTTTAGTTATTATAATCATATTGTACAAGCCTATCGAACTGAACAATGGTGGCCAATATTAGAAGCAATATTACCTTCTGCATTAAAGTAAAAATTGAAATGAAAGTTAAAAAAACTATCTTATTTTTCTTTTGTAAAGATGTGCATATTTAAGTGCTAATCTTCAAGATTGGATACGATTTAGTTTAGAAATACTTAATCCAAGTAAGAACTATTTATTTTTGTTAATACATTCAAAAAAACAAAATTTCTTTATTGTAGATATTCAATTATCAAGTCAAATTAAAAATCAAACACAAACAAATCTTGAGAATTTAATTATAAAAGTATAATAATAATAATAACAATAAACAAATCTTTATTCATTTTCTTTAAAGAATCTTGCACCACAAGTTGAACCAACCGTATCAGCAAATGATGATAAATGGAAAGCATTACTTAATAAACAACCAATTGTTATTGATGCTGATACATTTAAAGGACTTCGTAAAGAAAAAAAATTTCTATAAAATGTTTTTATTACTTGTTATTTTAGTGGAATGTAAAGTTTATTTTACTCATGATGCTGTATCAGTTGATTGTGACATCACACTTCAAGTTGCACTTAAGTAAGAAGATTTCAATAGAAAAAATATTTAATAAAAAAAAGTATTTTTATTATTTCTTAGAAATGGTTTTCCATTACCTATTGAATTCGATCAATTATTAGTTTATTTCAATTTAAAAGAATATGATGATTTAGCTAATGTAACTGATGTTGAAAAATTAAAATTTTCTCCAAATGAACAGCGAATATTAACATTTAATTTTACACCGAGAGGTGATCATGTTCAACGAACACTTGAAGTAAAAAAGAAAAATTTTGAAATATTTTATATGATTGAATTGTATATAGATTACATCTGTTTCATTAATTTATGGTAAAATTAATCAAACTCATATTGATTTTCAATGGCGAACTAGTTTACAACCAAATCCATCGTTTCAACAAGGACCTTTAACACCGAAATGGCAAATAAAAGCGGGTCATATATTATGGGAAAATTTACCTATACGACGAAAAACAAAGTAGAAAATTTTTCGAAGTTAATATTTTTTATTAGAAATTTAATTTTTAGTGTCATTATGAGAGCAGCAGAAGTACAATTAACTGTTGAACATCAATTACCGGTTCTTCTCTATGAATCATATCCAATTAAAATTCATATTAAAAATTGTGAAAATGTTGATATACAATCCGCAGTGTAAGAAAATAAAATAGTTCGATGTAAGGGGGAGTGGCAGTGACGGATTTAGGGAGGGGCGATGGGAGTGATGGCCGCCCATTTCTAATTTTTTTTGATTTTTCACAGCAAAAATGAACGAAAAAATAGCTTTTAGCCAGAATCGCCCCCCTCCCTTCCAAAATCCTAGATTCGCTACTGGGGATGGGACAGACTCACCCCCTCTCTCCCACTTTTTCAGTGTGTTTGCCAGGGGTTATACTGAAGAGCAGAAAGCGTAGCCACCTTCGAGAACATTTAATACTATTCTTCTATATCTTACAGATACTAACTTTATTGTTCAAAATAATTCAATAAAATAGATTTATTCATATTCTTTTAGTTTAACTTGTATTTGTTCAAATACCGATGAAAATTCTTCCACATCCGATGATAGTAAATAAAAAATTTTTTAATCGAAATTTTTATTTAATATATTTATTTTCTATTTATAGCATTTCTTTTTTATGCAACAGCAGATAGTAATAGTGAAACAACAACAAATATATGTTCAATGACATTCAAGACAATTAATAAAGATACTGAAGTAAAATCAAAAAGATTTTCTTATAATATTTTAAATAGTTATATTTATTTTAAAGATTGAACAAGATTTATATATTCGATGTAATAATAATCGTTCTCGAGAAATTATTATTCGGGTTTGTTTAATATCTCTAATTTTCTAAGAGATTAGAATAGAATTATTTTAGCTTTCTTATGAACGATTAAATTTACATTGTATGAAAGAAATTTTAATTCCATTAACTGTTGTTAATCCATTTTCAATTCAATTTCAAACAATGGGAATGATGGTAAAACTTCTTTTGTATATATATATTGTATTATTCTTAATTTACTTTCTTTCTAAAAAAATAGATGGAACCTCTTGCTTCCTTACGTGCTCAAGAACCATTTATATTAATGATTGATACGAAATGTATATCAACTATTCCAATTACTATTGTTAGCACTAATTTAAAACCTGTAAGTTCTTTCTATCAGAAGAAAAAAAACAATATTTTCGTTTTTGTTTTGAATTATTAGAGTCAATTTATAATTAGTGAATGTGCAATCGAATCACAGATCAATAATAGTATGTATTTATTTATTTTTAAAGGTTTCGATAAAGAAATATCTGCGTATGTGTCTTATAATATTTTCTTTCTCGTCGAGAAGAGTCCAGTAAACATAAATAGTTTGTTTGATTGCTTGTGTGTCCGTAGGGTTAAAAAAACATCGAAGACCGAGTTTTCACGTTTTTCCAATAAATGTGAAGAAAATCCATTTTTACGAGAAAGAGCTAAGCGAGTCCTCGGATGAGCGTTACTTGTTTTCTATAGAGTTCAGATAATCTGATGGGAAAATCCTTGTATACTTATACTCTACATATTTTGTTTCAGCTCAATTAAAACAAGATGAAGTTGTAACTGAAGGTTTTTGTCTACGTACTCAACCAATAGCTACACCTATTGTTCAAAATCTTCTTGTTGGTGAATATAGTTTATATTGGAAACGGTTAGTTTAATATATTTCTAATCATAACATTCATTTATTTGAATTTTATATAGTTCAAGTCATCCAGATATTCCAAAATTATGTACAACATTTTCATTATCGGATTTTAATGTTGAACAACAACAAGTTTATGTTGAAGTATCCATACCAAATAATGTTCCATTACAAGAACCTTTTCAAATCAATTATCGTATACATAATCGATCAAATATTGTTCATGAATATAAAATAAATCTTGAACAAATTAATCTTATCGTTGCTGTTTGTGGTAGTACAATGGTAAATAAAAATTCACTCATATATATATATATATATTTATTTTCTGTTATTTATTAGACATCATTATTAGTTCCACCACATAGTTCATCAGATGTTAACTATACATTAGTTGCAACACTTTGTGGTTTTGTTCAATTACCAAAATTTAAAATATCAATGATTCGTCCACCAACACAAGAAATCGATGAATCAATTGATAGAACATTACCTACACATATTTTTGTTGTACCATCATTAAAAAATTCATAATACATGCGAATTTATTTCTTTTATTTTTAATTTATTGATTTGATTAGTCGTCTTAATAAAAATTTTCCTTCTTTGCATTTTTTTCCGATATGATTAAACATACTGACAAATGTTTTTTTAGATGTTCGTTAGATTATTTCGTAATCGGTAAGAGTCTAGTCTTAACAATAAAGATGTTTATCTATGAATTATATTTTTGTATGCTCTATTTCAAAAAAAAATCGAATTAAACAGAAGTTTTCACTATAAAATTCTTGTATCCGTGATACTTTTGATGAATGTTACTAAATATAAATTTTTTCTAATTAAAAGTTTATTATCATTTGTTCTTATTCCACGTTTATCAATCAATACAACACCATTGATTGAACAATGTTGGCAATGTCAACGTAAAATTGATCGAATTGAATCTCCAGCATATTGTCCATGTGAAAAACATGTTGTATTACCAGTTCGGACTGATATCGATTATTTTCGTTTATTTGATTTGTCACGTTCATTTGAAATTGATACAAAACAATTAACGAGAACTTTTCGAAATCGAATGAAATTTTTACATCCTGATTTATTTTCAAACAAATCTGATGTGAGTAAGTAAAAGAAATATATTTTATTAAATAAAATCGTTTTTTTCTAATTTAGATTGAGAAAACATATTCTCAAGATCAATCGTCTTTATTCAATAATGCATATAAAACTTTATTATCACCATTAGCACGTGCTCATTATTTACTTAAATTAGAAAATATAACATTAGAAGATTCACCGATTCAACTTGAACCCGATTTTCTTATGCGTATTATGGAAATTAATGAAGAATTAATTGAAGAAAATAAACCATTTCCACTTGAATTAGCAATTGAAATGCGTCAAGAAATTGATAATCATATGAAACAGTTATCAATTGCATTGAATAAAATGGATTTAAACAAAGCTAAAGAAATTTTAGCTCGATTACAATATTTTAATAATATTAATGATAAATTAATAGAATTGGAAACACAACATGACATTATTTAATAAAAAAAAAGAACTGTTTTGTATTAAAACAAATATTAGATAAAAATAAAAACTTAAAGTTTCATTTTTAAACATTGAATTATTCATAAGCTATTAATTATATAAATATTTAATTGCTATTTTATGTGAAAATGATTAATGTCTACTCATTACATAATGAGTATAATTCAATCTATAGGTTTTCAATTTGAATTGAAAATATTCGGACTCGATTAATTATATTCATAACAATTTGCTAATGAGATAACGTCTATTGGTCTCGGAGTAGGTCGATATTTTTGCGAAAAAAGTTACATATTTGACAAACAATTGCTGAGAGAATAAAAAGAAATATTACTAAAATCAAAAGATTTTTAGGTATGACATTGAGTCGATAGATGCTCAATGTAAAACGATCTCAAAGCAGTTGATTACGATAAAAGGTATATGAAAAAAACATAAATGTATTTTTTTCATTTTCAAATGGAAATAGTTTATAATCTTCGATACTAGTAATAAGTCTGTTGAATACTCCAAGGCTCTGACAAAAAGGTTGCCATCTTATATGTTACCGATACACAGGGGTGGCGCGAGGTAGCCATCATTGGGGGGGGAGGGTATAACAAAATTTTTTGAATTTTTGGGGTGTGGTATTACCTTTGGTAAAAAGCCTAAGAAGATTTGCCGATTTTGTTGAGCAAGAAATAGAAATTTTCGAAGATTGAGGGGAGGGGGGGTGTTACACCTCCGATACCCTCTCCCCTGGTCGTGCCACCCCTGTCTATACAGCTGGAGAAAAGTTTCTATAAATAAAAATGAACACTTCTTGTAAATTTCTATATAGTGAGGCTAAATCATAGAAAACTATTATTTCTAACTATATAAAAAAATATCTAATCGAATGCTTGCCATTCTTCTTTTCATTTTTACTCACAAATTTATAATATTTGCCTTGAGCAATATTTTGTGATAATTGTATTTTTCGATTAAATTTTATAAGAAAGAAATTCATGTTCTCTTTTGAATACTATTCAAAGTAAAAAAAATGGAAAAAGAAAGAAAAATATAATCGACACTTTTTGTATTTTGTTCTCTATCGTTCTCTCCCTACGATTTTATAAAGAATAAAATATTCTAAAAAGGCAATGCCAAACAACAACAATCAACATCAAGACTGAGATTTAATTACATATATTCGGAATTAAACGAACGAATGTTTTCACATCGTAGTCTTGCATTATATGGTGGACATGAAGATGAAATAAATTGTCTTATTTTTTCATGTGATCTTGAAATACTTCTCACAGGATCAATTAATGGATTTATTCGTTTATGGAATACTGTATTCGATCAACTAACATTTAAAATTCACGAAAATGCTGGTATGTTAAATAAAATCTTAAAAATATTCTAAAAATTTTTTTGACATAAGGCGTTGTTCGAGCATTAGCTATTTCAAACAATGATAAATATTTTGCATCAGCTGCTAGTGATACAAACATTCATTTATATGAAACAAGAACAGGTCGTTTATTATATATACTTACTGGTAAAGAAATAGAAGAAAAATTTTTACAAAAGAAAATTTTTATTTTGATTGATTTTTAAGGTCATACACATTCATCTGATTGTCTTCAATTTTCCAAGGATAGTCAATTAATAGCAAGTGGTGGTTGGGATTGTCGAACAATATTATGGAATGTAATAGTAAGAAAGAAATTGTTGTATTTTGATTTTTTTTTAAAATTAAACATGATATTTGTTTTTTTAGACAGGTGAGCAAGTTTATGATTTACAACATCATACAAGTGCAGTACAATCAGTATCTTTTCATCCAAATCTTAATCTAATGGTAAGAATAAATATTTTTTTTATTACGAATTAGATTGAAAATCGATCATATTATTAATTTTGCTATTTTTCAGGCAACTGGTTCTCATGATAATATTGTCTTTTTATACAATTTTGACAAACCATCACCATTAACACCTATTCGGTTTCAAGGACATTTTGGTAATGTTCGAGCATTAGCTTTTTCAAAACTACCATATTTAGTTCGTCTATATTTTTGTTATTTTCCTATTTATATATATACAGTATGATTAAATAGGCATCTGCTAGTTGGGATAAGATTATTATAATTTGGCATACGGAATTGGCTCGTATACATGCTCGTTTGTTTGGCCACGCAGGATGGATTCAAGCTGTTACTTTTCGTGATGATGATGAAGGTTCTACGTTAGCTAGTGTTGATGATGAGAGTGTTCGTGTATGGGATATATTTACTGGTGATTGTATTCATCGACTTTCGGTAAGAATTTTATTTTTGAAATTTATTTTTAAATAATTCTATTTTTTTTTTGTTTAGATTATTAATGATTTCAGTTGTTGCGTTAGATTTTTACCAAGTAATCGTGGACTTTTAGTTGGCGGCGCTATTTATGAACTATTAGCAGAACAATCTACACGTCCTGTAGAACGACCACGTACAAAAAAAATACATGAACGAGCAACTGGTGAAACTATCTTATTACCAAAACAACAGTCGGTTTTATTAAGACAAGCAAGTCGTGTTAAAAGTGCTAAATCTTCAATAATTCAATCACGTCCAACTACAGCACAATCCATACTTCGAAAACCATTACCTGTTGACTAAGATTTTGTTTATAATTATGTAAGAATAAAAGATGTTTTTATATATTGTAACTAAATGCATTAAAAGTAGAATATATCACTTTTATACTATAAACTTTGTCTCACTCATTTTTCAGTTTAAAACGCTTCTTGGTTTTTAAAAACTACGAAGTGTTCTAACTGTTGACTGATTCAACAAATTATTATTATTTGTCAATCGAAGATATAATATAGTTATGGGACATACATGAAATAAGATTTATAAACCTAATGGAGAGTTATCTGAATATGCTTCTTTTTATACTAATATTCATTAGTAATTGAAATTAATGGTATACCATGAGAAGTATCAAGTTGATGCAAGTATATGTTAAACTGATGACAGATTTAAATAATCTGAAGTGCTATACATATTAAAAGAAATAAATGGCTTAAGAATCAACATAATATATATGCGTCGATGTAAGCAGATTAACGAAATAAATCCATTAAACTATTTAAGTATGTGACATATTCAAGAGGCAAATGAAACATTGAAAATAGAAAATTTTGTACAAAGTAATATTATCATATATCTATAACTTGTTGTTCTTGACAATATGATAAACTAATACTATCTTGTGTAATATAAAAGACGATTTATAAAATTTTATAAATATTTCTTTTTATTGGTTTAATTTAATGTTGTCGACTCTGTACGGTCTTTTCTATTTTTCTTTCCATTGTTGACAAAAATAAAAAAATCATTAAAATAAAACACCATTTTCTTTTTCCTGACGTTCTTTTATTTGTCTCCATTGTGAATTAACAGTATAACTGTACATATTGACGTATCTTATCAGTCAGACAGTCCATAATATGTTTTTAAACTTACAGTTTTATTTACGACGTCAGTTATCATATTTTTTTTACGGTTCTGTTAGTTTAGTTTTTGTCATAGAAACGTGGCCGCACAGGTGTCTAGCCACATTCATGTTTTTATTTAATATAACAGTATTATAAATACACTGGGAAAAAATATTATAAATACACTGGGAAAAAAATATTATATATCACGCGTTTTTTACTTCGGGTACAGAACATTAACAAACGTTACGTATGGAGACACATGAATATTTATACTCCGGCAGCACGTGGTTTAACGACCGGCTCCATGGTGCTGATGGTAAATATTGGAGAAAAGCTCGAAAATGCTTTCTGTTTAAGAATAATCTATCATCGGCACTTAATTTATTTAAATTTGATTATAAAGCCATACAAATTATATCTAGGCCAGAAGGTACAATTCTTAAGGGCTCTGGAAAAACAACTCTTGATCCTGATGAAAAAAGGGAGCATCGACCTGGTCAATCATGGGCAGACGATGCAAAAAATTCTATTCGCACATTATTGGATCGAATTGTTACTCGATGGGAACCAAAATATCTGTATCTACCAAGAATTAATATTATAAAGCTTCATGATAGTTTAACGCCTGAACCTTTACAATATGTAAACGAAACATACGGTAAATTTATTGTATTATAGAAAATAATTCAATAAAAGTTTATATTGTATATTACAGATAAAACAAATAATGATATTGACTCATTTAATGTCGGCAAGGCTTTAGAATTGTATCAGGGATGTCTAGTACCATTATATTATCATGAATTGTGGAGTGAAATAATTAGTGATTTTAAAAATGTTGAAACAACACTTAAAGAACGTGAAACAGTAATTAATGTTAGCTTATTCTATAAGTGGATGACTCTTGATGAAACAGAAGAAAGTGCACTGATTTTTGGAACTAATCGTGTGATCTATGGTAGGTTTTTTTAATTCTTATAAGATTAATCTCTTAATGATATTTTATAGATGATAGTTATAAACCTCTATCAAAGAAACCTGGTCTTTTCGATCTTGTTCTTATTAAAGTCAATAATGTGGAATATTTTGGTATGATTGTCCATGTTGAACAAAATAAAGTTAAAGTAGCAAATGAAGGTAATCGTC